TAGTAATTTTTTTTTCTTATTAGTCAGTGGGCTATGCTTGAAGACTGGCAGTAAACAAATCTAAAGAAATGAACTTTAAACGTACAAGCCAGTCTCGAATATACCTACATAGTAGGTTGAATGGACTGACGCATATCAGAAAACTACTACTCCCCTGGCTGCTTCCATGAAGGGCGTTGGATTATATCCGACAGGCGTCAGTGCAGGAATCTTAACAGTACTTCTGGGTACTTCTGGGACCACCGTCAAACGTTTGATTCTATTTCAATGCTCTCGATATTTCTGTACGGTTGTAATCCAAAGACTTTGAGAAATCACAAAATATTCCTGAAGGGCTAGATATTTCTAATGGTATAGATGCTGATAACTTTAAATTCTCTGGAAAAGTATCTGTTAATAAGGACATATTGAAAACATATGAGAAAGATACTGGTAAAATATCAAAATTTTGGTTTAAGACCATTTTGAGGACGTTATCTAATCCGGTTTGAATTTTGGTTTGTATTTGGAAATGCCTTCGATAATAGTAAGCCTCGATTAATCATAACTATTGTTATTGTATTATTATAACTAGTGTCAATTCTAGGATTGATCAAACTTTTTTGTACAGAGTAATATTCTCATGCATTTTAACAGCATTAATACCTAATTGATGGAACCGACTACAATTCAGCTGTTTCTAAATTACCTTCATATAAATCTTATGAAGGTGTATAATTTTGAGATTGTACTGAAAGGTGAATTCTTTTCTTCATCTGTAAGTTTATCAAAATACTAACATTAAAAACTGAGTTCTTCAATAACTATGGTCGTCAATGTGTTAACACATTGTTTGAACAAAAACACTGAAATCACAGACATCATAAAATATCACCAAGAAATTCAGACAGTAATAATATCATGTCAGTAGTTGTTTTTTCTTGAGGTCATTACACTGTTGAATTTATAGTTTGTTGAATATTTATCTTTCACAATGAAAACAATGTTTCTATCTTTTTTCTACTTTATTTGCCTTTTACTCGCAAGTTTAGTAATTTGAAGCGGTGGTGTTTGTCTGACAAACAACTTCAACAGGAATGATCTAGTGAATTGGTTTGGTTTACGCTGTTGCAAAGATTTTTTCAGAAATTTAGTGAATATAATTATTCACTTGGAATTCCACTAAATACCCAGATATAGAGAAATAAATTAAACGAATGAACTAAAAATGTCTACCACAAATGACACATTTCAAATTGTAAACAGTTTGAATATTATAATGATTAGACAGAAAAATGTCGCAAGATAATTCAAATGCTAGATTGAATATACTCATGATGCACTGTTTGGAACCTTTGGTGTAGTAATTAATATTACTGGAGTTTCTTCCCAACACCAAATCGTTATTTTCAACACCTCGACACGTGTTTCGATCACTAAGTGATCATCTTTAAAATTAATTTAAGACACCAAAGATGTGGTATACCTGTATGAATGGTACATCTGTATGGTATACCTGTATAGTATAAATAGGAATAGCCTTGCAAGTTTTTCCAGTTGAATCTTTCTCTTGAAGATGATCACTTGGTGATCGAAACACGTGTCGAGGTGTTAGAAATAACGAATTGGTGTTGGGGAAATACTCCAGTAATATTCAGATTGAATATAGTTGCTAAAATAAACTGTATCAACTCAAAGGGGTGATTAAGTGAGGTTCTGGTAAATGTCTGCCAAAAAACAACTTCTTTCCTGGCGAATATCACGATGAACATTGAATTATAGTAGTAGTATTTTAGCCCCACTTAGTGGAGCAGAAGAATTTTCATTTTATTATTATGTACTTTAAATAGGAATGTTGTAAAAACTTAATTGTTATGAAATTGAGAAGGAAATTACACACAAATTAATGAATTTATATTTGGGGGCTCAAATAATTTCATCTATAATTATTTCCTGGTTCCCAAAATTTTGAGACCGAGCCTGTAAATGAATGGAGGTTTTACGGTAAATTCAAATATTTAACGTTGAATAAACCGGTGGCTAATCAAGATAATGTTGGCTACAATCATTGAGCTTGTTATTTAATTGTATACCAGCAGGTACACATGTGTGAATTAGATGAATGTACGTGAAAGTAAATTGGTTCCCATATAGTTTACAGCAACCGGTGAACAAAAAGATATGTTACCGAATATATTATGTGAGAATGTGAAGACTCTTGTAACTATGTGGATTGTGTTTCACTAATAAAGATCTCGTAACATTATTGAAGTATGAATTTAGCTCAGTTTGGCTGAAATAGGTCGAAAGATGTCAAATTGCAGTTTCAGAAAAAGAAATAAAAACGTAGGTTGGGTCCTTTCCACGAACTAAATTATTTCCATTCTTCACTAGATCTTATCAGAACTGAATCACAACATGTTTTAATTAAGTTTGTAGAGATTTTACGACTTGGATTTTACAAACAAGATGAACTTCTCGTTTCATCGTGATTATGTCGGTGATGAATTTGTTTCATCTTATCTCTTTCAATAAAATTGTTATCAATCATCGTTTATCGTTAATTACTTACTATAACAATAGGGACTGGTATTTTATGTTTCTATCACGTTTTATAAGTTCTAATGTGCAATCCAGACCATTTCTATAAATAAAGATGAATCATCTACCGACAAAAATATTAGGAAATTGGAGAAATCACTGACTAACGAGTTTTGGATTCCAGGTATTAATTCTTGTTTGAATCATAGAATAGTATTAATACAAATTTGGGATCCATGTGTTTTCAAACCATTCCTCGAAAATATAAGCTTCCATGTTCTTATGATAGTCAACATTGCAATTCTCGAGTTTTTTCCACATTATTTCAAAAAATTCGGAACCCATCTTTTACTTCCTCCGCAATGCACAATGATTAGTCGCGATCCTTTGTTAGCAGGCTTGTTAGGCGTACACATTCTCGAACCATCAGTCCGCCCTTTCGTAACTGTGCCGTGAGTGTCATACCAAGTTTCGTCCAAATAGAAAATTTGCCGTTGTTCTTGTCTGTATTTAGTTATTTGTTCTAAGTATTTGTTAAGCAATTCCACTACTCTTCTGCCTTCCATAACTGGAGGGTTCTGAAGGGTTTTGTCACAGCAACTCACGGTATGGCCGGGAGTATTCAATTTCTTTCTCATGATTTCAGTTGTAGGAATCTCGTTGCTTTTGTAACAGTCGTATATTGTTTTTTCAATGATTTTATTAGATAAACATCTAAAGGTTTTGGTGATACCTGTATCACATCGCGTCTTGCGTTCATAAGGTTTGTTTTTGACTATTTTACAAACAGTTAAGAAAGGAAATTCGGTCAAATCTGCTGTTGCTTGTAATAGTTTTAGGTAGATTGTAGATTCTTATATACATTGAAACATACTCTCTGTATTTCATCAGTTCGGACTTCCATTGTCTAATATAATATAACTTGATTTGACAACCCTGAAAAAAATTAAAAAGATTAACCGAAAATAACAATTTTATTAAACAAAAAACTGAAATTACAAAGATATATTATACAAGCATATACAAGCAACAACCAAACAAATGAAAATTGAAATATTATTTAATGCTGAAAATTAAAAAATTAAAAGTACCTATTAACAAAAAATTAAAAAATTAAAAGATTTCAAACCAAGTTATATCATGACGTTTCGATTGTTAGTATCCAAAATCGTCTTCGGGTGATAACGAAGGAACATTAATTTAATTTTATGATTCTTCAGCCAATCATAGAACTTGGTTAGTAAAAATTATCCAATAGGAACCGCCATTGGTTTTTTTGGCCTTTGAGAGCGCCGACACCTTTAAGTATGCACAATACCGTTTACTTCGACTATATCTCACATTATTGTGAGATACTGTGCACCCTTTTTTGCATCTACTTGAGATACACGTTTTATGGTTGAGTGACATTCTTTCCTATATATTTTGTATTGTCATATTATAATGTATTTATACAATTTATATTTCAGTCAGTAAAAACGATTATTATTATTAGATGAGAGTTTTCCCTTTTGGGAGATCGAGAAAAAATTATTATGGTTTGAGCATACAAAAATTTTAGTAGGACAGGGTCTGGCTTTAGCACCGCCATAGATGTGGGAACAAAGGATTTGTTCCATTTCCTTAATGGAAATGAAATGAATGTACGTTAGATGTCACTTTGATAATGAATTTATAAAGAATTCACCGTAATAATTCACCATTTTTACATTCTATAAGGTGAGATAATGTATTCGACCAACAGTCTATTAACAAATTGTTGTCTGAGATAACTACTTTCAATTCAGACAATATACGAGACACATGAAATCATAGTATCTTGTGATTGGCAATGACATTTCAAATGAATTCGTTCTATTTTCGAATTCTTTTCTGCAAACAATCTGAGTGATTTTTGTATGATCAGCAATTTTTTCTTTAATTGAAACCATTGACGAGACAACTATTTGAATTGTTGATGAGATAGAATCGGTTCCCAATTTTCTACCTTGATAACCTCGTTGTTAATATTTAGGCCAAAAAATTACTAAGCCTTTCTAGATTCATTGTTCATAGAAACTTTCGAAATTATTTTTTCTACCTTGTACGTGTTTTTTTGCCGTCGGACGCATAGTTCATAGTTCAACTAAACGTTAGTTTTCCTCTCAATTTTTCGAAAACAAGGGAATAAGTTTCAGGATATTACTTTTCACACCCAGGGGTCGATCAGGGTGACTTTGCACAGAAAAGGTAGACCACGGAAAGAAAGGATTCTGAGGATGGGAACATGAACACATAGAATTCAAATCACTTGTACGTGTTCCAAACAAATAATTTCATTACTCTCTGTCAATATCATACTGCAACTATTCACATTACCCAGTACTGTTTGAATTAATTGAAATTTGCAAGTCACTTGTGAACTGAATTGTACCTATAGCTAGTATCTAACAGCATATAGAAGTATTATCCCTTCCACTGATTCGTTTTTTTATATTTCAGTCGTGCCAAACATGGATGTCGTACATATCAACAGCGTTATGCACCATATCGATGGCACTTGGACTAGGAAACCTTTACAGACTTCCTCAGACCACAATGATAAGAGGGGGACTGCCGTTTCTAATAGCGCATCTGATCCTGACCACTTTTATAGGGCTTCCTCTTCTATTTCTTGAACTGGGAATAGGCCAAATGGCACAAGAGGGGTTCATCAAATCTTGGAGGGCCATACCGTTCTTCAAAGGTGATGCAGTTGATTTTTTTATAGTCTTACGTGATTTACTTGTTGGTTTTTTAATAATTTTGAATATTTTTATTGTTCAGTGACATGATGCAAATGGATTTGAATTATTAGTGAATGTGATCTATAGAGACTCTATACCTTAGCCTGTTTTCATGTCCATATTTGAATTTAATTTTCAATTATAATACTTAGTAGTTACTTCGTTCATATATTTTAGCAATAATCTCAATATTTCTACCACTGTATTTAGAACATTAGATCAATAGATATCACTATTCATGGAAATACTTGATATTACTCAAATACTTGAACTTATTTGAATAAAATTATAAAACAGTAGATTCGCCAAATGAAGAACTGTCAGCTCCGACTCCTAGATATCTACCTATTGAAATTGGATAGATGAAAGCTGGTCTCATTTAGAAGATTTCATAGCGAGCGGGTGTCATTAATAAAAGTTATAGTTTTTGTGTTTAGTGTAAAAGTACCAATTTTGTGTGTTACTTCAATATATAGAAGTATCGTTCATCTCATTTAGTTGGAACGTCCAAAAATACAGGTGCTGCTGCCATAACCACTGAGAAAGCAAAACAACAGAAATATCGAAATGTTAAAAATAACTTTATATTTTGTCCTGTGGCTGTAGAAACTTTCGGTGTATTTGGGCCCTTATATTTAAATTTTGTTAATGAAATCGGCAGAAGGATATCTGAAGAAACTAAAGAAAAGAGTTGTATAGTTCAAGTAAACGATATAGTGCCCCCGACAAAAATACTTATGAACTTGAGGCTGTAATCCAAAGGACGAGTTCTGAAATTCTCCGATCTGTTTCAGTCTGTTTAAAATATGTTTTTCCGTTAATCAGCTGTCGCCTGCATACGAACGACAACTCTCAGAAGTTGAGAAACTTGTGCGAGCTAAGGACTAACGAGGTCTTACCTTTTACCGTGTGATTCCTAACACGGATGATTCCATGATTTATCCATTCGAACCCTAAGCTCGCTTCTATTGGTAGAGACAATTCATAGCAATCCAGTGACTTTAGGAACTTGTTAACTTAGAGACGTTTTGATTTTTACTCAGTATTTTTTTTTAGGAATAGGATACGTCAAATTTCTTGCAGGATGCATGTTGAGTATCTACTATCCATTATTTATGACTTTATCTTTATACTACGTGATATGGATTTGTAAAGGCCCGATTCCTTTTCAAGAATGTTCTGCAGGCGTGAAGATGACACAGGTAGGTGACCTCAAAAAATGTTATATTATGGTTACTTTGGGTTGAGTTTTTGCGAGGTTGAAACTTGTAAAATTTTCAAAAAAAAAGTTCATACCTAGAAAAATAAGAAAATGAAAAAGGGTTTTCAATGTATTTCCGCCCCTTACGAATGGCAGCTGTCAAAATTTGAAACTTGTGCGAACTAAAGATTAACGAGGTCTTGCTTTTTAGCGTATCCGGTAACGCAGGGAAATATCATTCATAAGTTTGTGAATTAGTGGGCAAGAAAAGGTTGACTTTAATCTGAGTACCAAGACTCCGAGACCCTGGCGAGAAATGAATCTTTTCTAAAAACAATTTTCCCACACCAGAATCATCAGTATCATCAAGAGATGTCTGAAATTATCAGGAGATGACTAAAACTGCTTCAGTTCTATAAACAATTTTGACTCGGTATTATTTTCTTTTGTGACAATAAATAACATCTGGTGGGTTACAAAATGTTTGAATCTCTCAATATTCCAGAATATTCAATTCTGGCAAATCCTTGGCAGACGAATGATACATCCGATAATTACCGAATTAAATTTAGGATTTTGATAAGAAAATGCTTTGAACTTCATTTACACCTAGCTGTAACCTTACCGAAATATTTTTGCACCATGAACACATGAAAAAGCTACCAATTAAGACACTCATTATCACGCACATGTGCGATTGTTGTTCTACAGTCCATTTACAAATATTTAATATTCGTATTACATGCAATAACAGCTTAAAACGAGATTGCCTTACGCTGAATTTAATCTCATTACAGTTTGTTCAGTTACCTCTTTACTAACAATGCAAATAAACGATACAGAGTTGTTCAAACAAGGTTGGCAAACTTGAGAATGGCAATATCGATTTGTTGTGTTAAAACAGTAGTTAAATGAGAATAGAATATGAAAATAATTTAAATACCTATGAATGATGTCACATGTTATCTGGATTGGTGTTAACGGGCATATCAAGTTGTGCATGAGTGTTTCTCGTAGATACACAAGAAATTAGAAAAATAATCATTTTCATCTGACGACTCAACTCAACTTTCTTCAGTGTGTATATTTTTTCAAACAAATACAAATATACAGTGCGGTTCATATGTATGGAATAAATTAATTTTTAGCGTTATTATGTACTATGTGAAAAAACCTGAAACAGGTCGATTTTTATTCTTAAATTGACAATTTACAGTATGAAAATATTATCCCCCTCCAGCACCCCTTCTGTATTATAAGCAACCCCTCGAAAATTTTAAATAGCAAAGACGGTCGTGTGGCACCTTGTTGGAAAGGGATTTCAGTCCTCTGTTCAGCAATATAAAGTTTTTTAAGTTTGGTGCAATCATGACTGAGAAAATTAATTTCACAATTAAATTAAATGTTCAAAATGACCACCATTATTCACTTCTTGACAATAACCTGATCTATTAAACAGACCATCCCTGTAACACGATCTTTACTAACCTTGAAACCTGGAAAAAATCTTTGAAGATACTAAAATATCAGACAAAAAGCCAAATAAACAGTTGATATGAATCTAGTAGGCTGCTGTCATTTAGGTATTTAAAGTTACTAAAAGACGTCAGTATAATATTTGTGGGCGTATTAAATTTAATTATGGCTCATTTGTCCGAGACTCAAAGAATAGACATTTCAATTATGATTGGATGTGGTAATAAAACAAGAGTTCAGAAGGAGGTTTGTGAAATTTTTAATAATAAATACCCTGGTCAACACGTGTCGCAGTCTACAGTTAGTAAAATTGAAAAAAATGTTTCGTGAAACTGGACATGTAAAAAATATTGGAAAACCAGGAAGAAATGTTCAATTTACTGATGAAAAAAGTTAGATGTACCTCTAGAGATTGAGGAAAATCCGCATAAGACAACTCGAATGAAGATCCTGATAAAAGGCAAGAATTCTGTGAATTGATGATGGACAGAATGAACGCAGATTTGCAGTTCATAAATAAAATAGTGTTTTCTGATGAAGCGACGTTTCATTCAAACGGAACAGTTAACGACAGAGCAGTAGATATTGGAGCAGAGAAAACCCTCACTGGATGTGTGCGACTCATACTCAATATCCTAAAAAAGTCAACGTTTGGGGTGTTATCATTAACAATAAAATTATTGGCCCTTATTTTTTTGAGGGCACTGTTAATGGTGAGGTTTATCTAGATTTTTTGATTAACTTTTTAGTGCCTAAAGAGAAATTAAACTTTCTATGTTTTTTACCACTTTTATTTGCGACTAACGTTACTGCAGTTTCATCCTATAAGGACCTTTTCAAACTTATATATTTATAAGTTTGAAAATGTGACTAGTGAAACACACTGTATAATTATTTCACTTGATCGTGACTTTGAACTAGGATATGAAATTTTCTCGATACTTTCCCAAAAATAATGTTACGAAGTGAAAGCCGTCTAATACAGTCTGATAACTTTTATTACACCTACAATTTTGCCATTATAATTAACGAGGTAGTCATCAGAACACCCTTGAAACGCAACAAAATTGCACTTTAACGCTGATGTCGAAATAAATGTGTCGCCCGCTATGGGTCACTGCTTTCCAGGAATCCTCCTACCAGAACCAATGACAAAATACAGGCCGGTCTTGAGTAATTTCATTCTAGGGGCTTTTTAAAACTGTTATATAGTGTTAAAGTATTGTTGTTAATTGTTTCTATCCACGTTTGGCCCTTGTGAGATAGAACTGGAAATATGACGTCAAAAGGCTGTTGAGTGAAATCTTCGTCACTATTCATACAGTGCATTTCTTTAATGCCCCCCTTTTTCTTCTTGAACGGGTCAACTGAAAAAATTTAAATCTAACATAATGAAATGACGGAACATTTAATAATTTCCTGAAGACAAACACATTAATATCGATATTTCCAGAAATATTCCTTTTTATCTGCCATATGGCAATTCCAACAACCCGATAAGGTTTGTTAACCTATTTTTTGTTTATAAAAACGACAAAAAATGTCAGTACGACAATGAACATCATTGTTCAGTTAGCAGTCTCATTTCGGTTTTACTAGTAAAAAGGTACCACGTCAACAATCTCTAAAATAGTTAATTTTCGTCCATTGGAAGAAAAAATTGAAATTGAGAATTGAAGTGATTTTTTTTCACGGTGCGACGCGTAACTTTCACGAGACCGAAAGAATTTTCATTGAACGTTCATCCATACAAAGTTAAAATGGTACACCAATTAACTGAAGATGACCCTGATCGAAGAACAGAATTCTGCAAAATCATGGCGGAACCCATTGCAAGGAATCCATCCTACCTATCTCCACAAAATTTGTTTTAGCGACGAATGTACATTCGTCGTTAAAACAAATTTATTTGTTGCCGTTATTGGAGTGCCACCAACCCTCTCGTTTTCAGGGAAACATATTCCCAATATCCAAAAAAAATAACGTTTGGGCAGGAATATTGGGAAACCATATTATAGGACCTCTATTTATTGATCAGAATTTAACAGGGGAACTGTAATTGAATATGCTGGAAACTACTGTTGACCCTCTCATCACTGAAATCGTCGAAGCGAATCCTAATGAATTCGATATGGATATTGTATTCCAACA